CGTGGCGGCGGACGACGGCGGTGGAGTAGCAGCCCTTCGCGGGCCATGTCTTCTCCGGCGGTGGCGAGGGGCTCCCCAGGAGGGAGCCAGGAGATGGTCCCCAGGCCACGGAATCGCGACCGGTTCTGGGAAGTGGGCGGCGGCAGCGGCGACCGGCTGGAGCGCGCGGTCGCGGAGTCGGAGCGCTGGGAGCTGCTGCTCCGCCGCGGGGAGCTACTGGCGCTGGGCGGCCACCTGAAAGGAGCGCTGGAGGCGTATTCTGCGGCGCTGCGCCGGGGGGCCCCGGCCAGGCCCGAGCGCCTTGGCACCTTGGTGGACTGCTTGGTGCTCAACTACCGGCTCCGCCACGGGATGGGCTGGAGCGCGGCCCCGGCTGCGGGCGCAGACGCCGGCGCCGGCGGGCTCCTGAGCTGCCTGGGCTGCCGGGGCTTCCTGAGCGAGCCGGTGACCGTGCCCTGTGGTCACAGCTACTGCCGTCGCTGCCTGCGGAGAGAGCTCCGCGCCCACTGCTGCCTCTGCCGGGACCGCCTGCCGTCTGCCGCTGCTATCACTGATGCTGAAGGGACCACGCCGCGGCCGCCGCCCCTGGCCGCCGCCATCATCGCCTCTGGCTTCAGAACCAGTGTCGTCCTTAACCACCTGGCCGAAAAGTGGTTCCCGGGCCTGCGAGAGAGGGCCCGGGCGGCCGGTCGGCTCGGGGAGCTGCTGCACCAAGGGCGCTACCGAGAGGCCCTGGCCGCCGCCTGCGAGGCGCTGCGAGCAGGTGACTGCGTGGGGATGCGGCGCGGGCCCAGCCGACTCTAGTCTTCTCTACCCGACGGCCTGGGTACCCAGAGCTCGTCTCTGTCACCGTGAGGCTTCGGAGAGGCCCCCTGGCCCCTCGAGTCTCAGGGTCCTCGCCGGTGTGGGAGGGGCTGCGCCCCAGAGTGCTGCGGTCACAGTGGGGATCGCCCTAGGAGCCGACTATGACGCGGCGCAGGGAGGGGCGCACGGCGCGGAGTTCCCTCGCTTGCTCCCCGGGCCTCTGGCTAACGCCTTGCGGTTAGGCGGGTGCGTGTGGAGCGGAGCGGACCACCCTAGCCGGGACCGCCCGAGCGCACTATGGGGTGGGAGTGGGACGAGAAGGACTGCCCCTTGTTTCCTGCCGCGCTATTTCGCCTTACTGGCCACTACCACTTGGGCCGTGTCAAGTCTGCCCCGGGGGAACGACAGATGGGGCGGGAGAGACCCCCAGCCGAAGCTAGGCGTGCAACGTTTACCTTGTTCTTCTACAAAAGTCACCCGGGCAATTGGAGCCGCGGGAGGGCAGAATTGCATAAGCTTGGGGGGTGGGGGTGGGCGTTGTGTAACGGGTGACGTCCGGTGGGCGTGGCGGGAGCTCTGCTGGTTCTTAGTCCCCAGAGCCCCCCTGCTGCCCGCCCGCCGGCCCCTGACATTGGGTAGATAGGTGGTGGGGCTGCCCTGGAGCGCCCACCTCTTACCTGAAAATGCCTTCTGAAATTGGTTGCTCCCCTTGAAGGCTTCAACCTTCCTATTTCAAATCCTATTTATATGATTGTTTTTTAATATACCTAACTTCATCATAAAGATAGCTAGTTTTTGGTTGTAGAGTAATTTGCCACACTTCTGTTAGCCTTTTCACTCATGAGCAAACTAGGGGGAAAGGCTTTATATAGTTCTTTTGTCTGTTTCTTCAACTCCAGGAAGAAGCTTCTGTCTTCTAACCTAGGTGGTTAACACTTTTCTTAGATATTTTTAGTCTACTGGGAGGAAACAATGTCATTCCCCCTTCTGGAAAATGAAGAGCTGTTCCTTTAAGTCTGTGTTTCTCGACTGGTAGGGGCTTTTGTGGGGCGGATGATTCTCAGATATTTGGCCAACAGGAGACACTTTTGGTTGTCACTTGAGTGGTGCTTGTGGTATTAACATCTAGTGGATAGAGATCAGGATGCTTCTCTGTAAGGGAAAGATGTGGCAGTGTATTTCCCCAAAGATTTCAGCCTTGGAAATCCTATAGGGTAGTATTCTATCCTGTATAGTTGCTATGAGTCAGAATCAACTCTAGGCAATGGGTTTGCTTTGGATTTTATTTATATATTGGAATGGAATGGTGGACATTCCTAGGAAAATAAAATACGTGTTTATAATATTAGGAATTAGATGAATTTATGAGCTGTATAACAGAAGTATATTCTTGTGGGCTTTTCCCCTAATTGCTTACTCATTTTGAACTAGTGACAATAACTTGAATTATTTAACCCTTTTAGAGTTCAAAACACAAAGTCAACATTTTTCGTTTTCTTTCAGTATCTTTCTGAGGAGTAGGCAGTTATAAAATAAAATAGGACAGGATGATAGACTCAGAACAGATGAAATCTATTTAGAGTAAAGAATTCTGGTACAGAGGGCTCTGCCTTTCAGGGTGACTTTAGTCAGAGTGGGGAAGCTGGTCTTGGCTGTACAAACCTTCTAATTACTGACCATAGTGCTCATTTTAAAAATGAGGAAGCAGAAGTGAGGACTGTGAGATGGCTTGTCCACATCCACACGTCTCGCCGGTGTTATGTCCTAAACGTTGGTCCTCGTCTCTTAAATGTTGGCCCAGGATTCATAGCTGCCTTCATAGCTCATTCAATAAAAAAAGTCTTATAAATTACCATGCAAGTTTTTTGTCACCAATAAAAATAAGATGAAACTTAGCAGCAGTATTATTCAATAGTCTATGTAAGATCAGTGAGCACATTTACTATTTAAGTTCTGAACACTGAACAATATTTATAAAATAAAAAAAAAAAAAAGTACGATCCTGGACCTTAGATTGAGGTTATTATTGTAAACAAAAACAGAAGGATCTGCTGTTTCTATCAATTTACATAGACTAGAGATGGGAATTTTACCTACTTGGTTACTTAATCCTACTTTTAGAGGAACAGAACCCATATCTACCCACTTTTACCTCACCAGGGTATTTTTTGCCAAAATCGTTAATTCCATCCTTGAATGTATTGGAATGTCACTAATCGTACATTGTTGCTTTCTTTGAATTATTGGTTTGAAGTAGGAAGAAAAATCTTAGAGCCAATTTGTAGTTAATAAACTGCAGATTCTTTTTTGAGTGTTTCACAGTTTATGGGCCTAAATGGATATGTTAACTGGTAAAGTCATAAATATGTTAGTACAATGATTAGATTTCTTGAGAGTTCGTTAGAGAGATACACATTTGAAATTTGTAATAATGTTTTAGCTATTTAATGATACTTTTATTATTGTTAGTTATGAAGACCACTACAATTTAGTAATATAATTCTTATAATGTAACAAATAAGTTCTAATGAGAGAAAAAAGTCTAGTCCATAGTCCACATATGATTAGCCCTGTCAATCAGAAAGTTTGAAAACCTTTGCCCAAATCAGAAGTTTCCCATTAAGGTTATGTAAGTTTCTGTGTTGCATTGAGGTATATTTAGAAGAGATTTAATCCATTGATCTTTTTGTATTAACTCTCAGATGTTCCATAACTTTCTGTCTTCTTAATAGTCCAAGGGTATTATGTAAATGTCTTTTCTACATTGAATCCTTTAACTTAATAAGAGTCTAATGAAATGGTCCCAGTATGCTGTGTTTTCTATTTATGTTGAATGGATTTTTATAATGACTTGTTTCCTCCCTTTATGTACGCCTTAACTCTTCACCCCACACCCCAAAAAAGGTCACAGAGCAGTATAATTTACAGTTTGAGCTGGTTTAAAAAACAAAGGCATAAGGGAGAACAATTTACATAATTTTGGGGGGAAAGGAAGTGTTTGTCTTTATTATTATGTAGCCCTTGATGCTAACCATTTTTATGTTGTTTATATCATCTGATCTTCACAAAGAATCCTGTGGATATTATTAGCCTTATAAGGAAATTTAGGCACAAAGAGATTGGCATACAGTACAGTTTAGTGATAAAGGCTGGAGATGCTGGAAGCCAGCTACTTGGTTTTGAGTTCATAGTGTAGCCGTCCACTTACTGCACTCTGACCTTGAGCAGGCTGTCTAATCGCTCTGTGTTTTGGGTTCCTTATCTGAAAATATGAAATGAGAGTAGTATTGTCATCTTCTCATGGGATTGTTGTGAGAATTGATCCAACGCATGTAAAGAGCCTAACACAGTTCCTGGTAAATATGAATTGAAATATTAACATGTACAAATTATGCTGCAGATAGGTGACTTAGCTGAAGTTAAAATTTATATTTCTACCTTAATAACGTCAAGCTCTATCCTTTTATATCACAGTAATAGTATTTATTACCAGAATGGTGACTAAATCCTGTTTCTTAGTTACATATGTTATTTGTTATGTGCCGTGGAGTAGGTTCCAACTCATAGCAACCCTGTACAGGATTTCCAAGGCTGTAAATCTTTACAGGAGCAGGAACAGCTGGTAGTTTCGAACTGCTGTCCCTGAGGTTCGCAGTCCTAAGTTACAGGTAATTTCTGATTTGCAATGTATTTGAGTTCCTAGGACAAACTGCACCTATGGACTGCTTTCTTTCCCCCTGGCCGTTCACCCCCCACTTTGTAATCCCCATCTCTAGTAATAGATACTGTATATACCATGTTGTAGCACCTAATTTGCTGTTGCTGTTATTTTAAGATGTTCACTCATAGGTGTTTGTATGTAACATTTTCATCCCCTTCCCCAAGACAGATTGAATTTATAAAGATACTGAAAACAACAGCCAACAGTAGTGAAAACTTAAAAAAACGAACAAAGAAAACCCGACCTATTTGACTTACCACCGAACCAATATATGAGGGAGTTGTTGGAACAAACCCTGTTGTAAGTCAGGGACTAGACATAGTATCATTTTAGTGTTGTTGCTGTTAGGTGCTATGGACAACAGAATCAAACACTGGCTGGTCCTGTGCCATCGTTTCCTTTTAGCATCCATCAATAAAAGGTATATTGTATATACACTAAGCTATATTGTATGTCAATTTTAGCTATAAAAATACAGATTGTGCAAAGCTTTATTTATAAAGATATTTGTCAAATTACAGGTAAATAATGAGTACCTTTACAGAAATACAGGGTTCTTAGTATCTGTAGCCACTTTACTCAGTTCAGAGGAGAGATTTGAATTTAATAAATCAGTAACATTCATATCCTGACTTATTTCACAAAGGACTTGATATATTAAACATTCACGTTTATATGATGTTTTCTAGTTCACAAAATCCTTTCACGTATCTTAATTGAACTTTACAAAAGATCAAGTGAGGTAAGAGTGTTGGTATCCTTAATTCACAGACTGAAGGAAAAAGCTTCAGGAATGTTAAGTGACTCTCTTAAGGCAAGTAATCAGGTTTGAACTGAATCCAGAACCCAAATTTGTAGATATTATCTCTAAACAAAATTAATTTTTTAAAAAATTTGCATGTAAAACATAAATCTTAGATATTTTTACCATCTATTCAATATGTATTGAGCACTTCCTATAACATAGCATTGGTGTACGTGCTAAAAATACAGAAGTGAACAAAATGAAATCCATGTCCTTCTCTGATATGTGCTTTTTATGCTTCTTTTATAATTTCAGTAAACTGGTATTTATTGGAAATTAGCAGAAAATGAGGCCTGCTGTTTAATAGACTTCTAATTAATTGAGACTACATGTGGTGTGTCTCAGATTCATCTTTTACTTAATTCAGAAACACTTTAAATGTTCTTGTAATCACCATAAATACGAGGGCAATTTAAAAAGTGTTGCTACAAAA